GTTTTTTCGGTTCGTGTACCGACAAAGGAGGTCTGCTCGCAGAAAAGTCCTTGGACAACCGATCGACAAGACTTTTCACGTTGCCTACCATGATATCACCCTGAAGAAGTGCTTTTAGTGGAAATCAATGCAAAATAAGAAACAGCCGTTCGTTTTTAAAAAGTTAGTGACTGATCTCTAACTAATATAACCTCACACGCTGTTTGAACCCATTTCGCGAATCATAACAATGGAAGGGATAGCAATTTTCTTTTACTTTCAATAAATTTGAAATAGCTATCGACATATATTTGTTATGAATAAGCGAAAACAGGTAGTACTACGGCACAAGGCCGCATTGATGAAGTACGCCTAGTCTGATTTTTGAAAGCAGAGCGAATCCCTCGACAGGGGAGCGAGTTATACGACGATGCTTTTTTTCTATAAATTAGGGCTATGCTGTGAAAAGAGGTCAAACTAACTTAATGAAAAATGTTCGCTCCACATAAGAGCGGAGCTTCAAATCCCATTAATCCCGTAGCGTGGCAAAACAGGATTAGTTGTATGCAAGGAAAATGGAGGTACCCGTAAAAATTACTTGAACGAAAAAAAACGAGCGCAATTATAACTTTAAGGAGCAGAAAAACTACTGAGAGTCGAATTACAAAACGCAGAAAATGAATCTAACCGGATACAATGTATATCAAAAACACTTTTGCCCCCGACAACTGCAGGAATTTACATTTTCCTTCAAAAATTCGACGGCTTTATATGTTCACTTTCAAGTATGAGGTCTACTTCGTGGAGTGATACGCATCTGTACATCTGATATCGAATGATGTAACTTGTAAGGCATCACGGCATCACGTCAATAAATCTGACACTGATTTGGACCCTGGGTTTGCTGGCGATTTTCCCTATTCCTCCCTCTTTGTGGACGGACAGACGCACACATCGACACATGGACGCTCCAATTTAGCAGTTTATATAATAGAAGAATTGTAATAAGATAAAAAAGCAATCTGGACTTGTTCCGGAAATCCTCTCTAGTTTTATACTTGGATAATTGCTTACCTACAACTTTTTTTAAGCTTTTCTGCGAGAGAATTTTGTTCCAAAGTTGTTTTTTGTTTACTGTTTGGTATGGTACGTTAGTGCACACCTTATGCGCAAATAAATAAACAAATAAATGAATAAACACATAAATTCAAGTGATCAAATTCTTTTGTATTTTCAAGCCATACCTTTGGTCTTCGGTTCATCCTTCGGCTCAGAATGAACTGTTTTTCCTCCAAAGATATTGACACCTCCAATAGCTGATGGCGTCCTTCGATTTGCTTCAGGTTGATCAGGATCTGCAGAGCGCCTAACTACTACCTTATCGTCTTCTCGAATAAGAGTACTTGATGGAGGAACTATAAGATGTGGTTCGATTAAAAGATTGCAAATAAAAAAATTAGCAATGGAGGCACGAACCATCAGGTTTCACGAAGTTAGTAGGGAACATGCCAATAATATTCGTGCGCAATTGACGACCACGACTCCAACCATCCTCGACTTCTTCCAGTACCTGTATGGGTTAATTTGTAGAGAAATGAAAAAAGACTATCTGAGCACCAGTAAATTTGATAGCAAAACGGCTTACTTCAATCACATCGCCCAATTCCAGTGTTAATTCATCATCTTGCACCGCTGAATAAGCGAATGCTGTTATAACATGTTGTAAGGGCTGCGATGGCTTCGACGAAACAGCTGAAACAAAATCGCTACCGCATTGAGCAATTTCAATCAAAATTACTTCTTCAAACTCACGTTTTTTCGGTTCGTGTACCGACAAAGGAGGTCTGCTCGCAGAAAAGTCCTTGGACAACCGATCGACAAGACTTTTCACGTTGCCTACCATGATATCACCCTGAAGAAGTGCTTTTAGTGGAAATCAATGCAAAATAAGAAACAGCCGTTCGTTTTTAAAAAGTTAGTGACTGATATCTAACTGATATAACCCTTCACGCTGTTTGAACTCATGTCGTCAAACATAACAATGGAAAGGGGAGTATTATTTTCTTGTAACTTCCGATAAATTTGAAAGAACCATCGGCATATATTTGTT